CCTTCCTGAGAATTGAAAGGGCGTTCCCATCTCTTCCATGAGACTCTTCTTAAAAAGCTCAAACTGGCTTGTTATTGTGAACTGCTAAAGTGTTGCTGTGGCCATTGATAACTTGTTTCCTCATCCTTGTGACTTCAGTTTAAGAGACCTGGCTTTTAGCTAATCAAAATCAAACTATTTTCTGTTACCTTTGTGCGTTAATCAAACGTGTCAGTAGATCAACCTCTCCAGGTCTCTGATACTGGAAATGAGCTTTAGTACAGAGTGAAGACAGCACAGTTTATATTGTGCAGTAAGATATGAGTAATTTCCTACCTTTTAGAGTAAAAATTATTGTGGCCCGGAAAATACCTTGCACTTGGAAGTATTTAATGGTATTCTAACAGATGAGTGCATTGTAAGATTGAAGAGTTACTGAGGGGGTGTTCTGGCAGACCTGCCTGCTGGCTTCTTATTTGCATTTGATACACTCAGCGCTGGCCAGGCCTTGCTGACACTCTCCAAACTGTCCTGTCACCGTGATGCTGCTGAGCTGCTGCTCTGCTGTCAGCAGAGTGCTTTGTGCTCAAAATGCTCTCAGAATAAAGATGCAAAAGTAGTTTGATTCTTAATCCAGGACGAATGTCTTTTAAAGGTGTACAGCTTTCATTCCCAGCTTTATTCTTGCACAGTGTGTTTCTTCCTTGTTTCCTGCACCTCATCATCGTGAAGTGTTCCTGCAGTTGTGCTCGCAGGTGCTCACTCCCCCCACTGCAGCCTTTTCTCTCCCTTGCCAGTGCCTTTGGACACAAATTCCCACGCATGTATACCTTTTCCTAGATGGGTTTATTTGCAGCTGCTTCCACTCTGATGTGATTTTTCTCCCAGCTCTCACTAAACAAACCTGTACACACTGACCAAAAGGTGTGGGAAAGCAGCTCTCTCAGACCTGTCAGAAGAATATTAAGTGTGTCACCAGAGCATGGAGGGGCATCATCCTTTTGGTCACCAGGACCCTTTGAGACTTGGCTGTGTATTTCTTGTTGTATTTCTTGCTGCCGTTACTTCTAAAAGATGTGGGGCCATTTCTAATACAGAGGGTTTATTTTTAGGAGCACTAACAAACCCTGTGGACAAAGCTTTTCTGTTCCAGGGGGAGTGGGAGAGGACCTGCATCCTGCCTGTGGATGTCGGAGTAGGCATTTCTGCAGAAGCAGTTGTACAGGATTTAATCTGATTCCCCTGCTGCCAGAATTGTAACGTGGTACTGTGTTGCTATTCCTAAAGAAATACAAGTTATGTTTCAGATTTGGTTTACATTTCTGTGTGTGTTTAAATAATTACTTTTTTCCAGAGTTAGGGTTTAGGTATCTTATTTGAGCTGTGCAGAGAATGCACACAGGTGCTGTTGCTTTGTGGCTAAAGCTGAAATTTCAAATGTTTAAAAAAAAAGTAAAATGCTCTGTGGGCAGATTTATGAATTTAGTTCGAAGTCTCTTTCACAGAGGTAAAATACCCCTTCAGTAGTTAAGGGGAGGGGGAATTTTCTCCCTGCAAACCCCTTTTTACCCTCATTCTTTGACTTTTCTCCTCTTCAAACTCTGCATTTGAAGCAGAAACCTTATATCCTGCTGCTGCACACTTAGTTGGTTATGGAATCAGTACAGTTCTCCCTCTCACCAAGCAGGAACCTCTGCTCATGCTTTCTTGAACTTATTAGAGAGGGTTAAAGAATGCCATCATCTTTGGACATGTTAAGAGGATGTTCTGAAGGGGAATTGTTGTCTTACCTTTCTCTGTAATTTTGCTGCTGAGGAAAGGTCAGTGTTACATCCAGCTGGGGGTTGCATTAATACAGTGTTCTGTATCGCTGAGTGTGCTTAGTCTGAAGCAGAAAATCAATAAATCTTTTCAGCCTTTGACTCCCTGAAGGATTTTTCTGCCTCGGGTGGGGCTGTAGAGGACACTGTTTTTCGTGATCAGTTTGTCCTGAATGGCAATTAATTTTAGCTTCTTGATGGGAAAATAATAATAATAATAATAATAAATAAATAAATCAGATATTCAATGCTTGGAAATCAATGTGTGAAACTGCAGTCTCAATAGGTTTGCTCCATCCTGGGCTGCTGTCACTCCAGTGCATACAGAAGTATGAGTATATTACTGTTTTCTCCGTTTCCCCATGAGAAATCATCAGTACATGGCACTTCACTGAGAGACAGGTTTCTCTCCATTATGATAGACTTAAATTCTGATAGACTTATTTGAAGGCCTTTGACTTCTCCTTAAGCTAATTCCTGTATCCTGTTGCTGCCTCGAGTGTTGTAAAGCATCGCAGCAGATTTAAATCAGCACGCCTGATGTTTTTGCAGTATCATTGTTTTAGAGATTACTTAAATTCCTAATTAATTGTACTTTTGCCTGCAGGTCTGTGTTAGAGAAGTTAATGAGAAAGTTAATGAGCTAGCTGGTGTTTGAACAGCCTCCCCTTTCCTGGTGTGCTTTGGTTTGCAGAGCAATCCCGCTGTAAGTGCACATTGACAGGTACTGAGAAAGGGCAACACTTCATTTAGCTGGAAATTACCGTCCTTTCATTCAAACTGAAGCGATGTGGGACAGAGCTGACAGCCGGTCTCGCTCCTCAGAGCCTTAGAAATGCTTGCATAAGTGATTATTTTTTAGGTTTTTTTGATGTCTGGATGTTATGTTAGGAAGGAAGTCTCCAGAGCCCATGTCACAGGTAGAGTTGTCCTGTTTCTCTTCTGCAGGCTGCCAAAGCTTTCACCCTGCTGGTGCTACTCGTCGAAAGAAGGTTCACTGTGGTTGCTTTCCCAAGCCTGTCCTGACCTGGGACTCCTCAGACCCAATATCCTCTGATTTGCACAGATAATATCCTGAATATTTGCGTGATTTATTTTTCATAGGTCTGCTCTCTAGGCTTGTTTTAAACCTTGTAGGTTTATGTGCTGTCGTTACAGGAACTG